GCATTTTTTAATGGCTGGTCTCAATCAGTATCTGCGTCTTATTGCGGAATTTATTCTCGGAGTATCTATGTCACTACACGATCTATTTTCTTACAGTACTTTGGTAACATTTAAGTCAAAGCTCTAATTTTAGTATGTGATTATTGAAACTATTCTTAACTTTGAAGCGGCTTTTACTAACGCATTTGACATACACCGTATATTTCTTAGCTATTTTGCAAGCATACATTTAGCATAAAATATAAGTAATGTATTGCAAACCTGCAATTTTCTTGCAGATATAAATGAATGTCAGCAAATGAATGGTGGCTGCGCGCATGATTGTATCAATACCGTTGGTAGTTATTACTGTCAATGCCGGTATGACTATATTGGTCGAAATGATAGTAGTCGTTGCCTTGGTGAGTATACCATTGATCCAAGTTTGCAGATACATTTTATATTGCATATACTAACTATGGTAGTTTCAATCTACAAATAGATATACACTATGAGTAGAAGTTACAATACTGTATCAATATCAAACTTATATTCTGAAATGATTCATTGGCGGCTGCTAATATTTCTTTGATATTAAGAAAATTTCTCCTTTCGTGCTTTAAATATTTCCTATCAGGCGATTTAGTGTTATCAAATACCGCACTCTTACGCATACCTTAGCTTGTGGTCAGATTGATCTAATACTATCCCAGTATTAAATATAATTAATATCAGCCGTGCCTGTAGTTTTAAGTTTATTGAGATATGCAAATATTGATATATTTCCAATGTCTTAATTTTTTAAGCAATACTGAGTTGAAAATTTTATTTCATCACAAAATTACTTAAATTCTTTGATTGAAGATCCATGCACAGCCTACCAGACCATTGCCGATTCTACACGTTTGATAAAAAATCGACATTTAATTCCTTTACGCTGCGATGGAGATGACATTACACCTAATTGGTATCGTTTAACCGGCAGCAATGGGAGCAATTTTATGCTTTCCGCAAATTGCCCACCGATCGCAAGATGTCAAACTGTATCTACGGGTTGGATGAATGGATCACATCCTAAAGGTACTGATGTTGATCATTTGATATGTTATTATAAGCAATGCCTTTTAAAACATACTATACAACCATTTTATTGTATCTATTATCAATAAAATGATTCTGGCTAAGAATAAGAAACGCTCATTGTTTCGTATTTATAAATCTGACAGTAATATAACTCATACATAAATTAAAAAGCTTAAATAAAGAAAATAGTAAGACGGCAAGAGGAATATCCGTTTTCAATTTATGATAATAGTAACCTTAATCCCATGCTATTGCTTATAAAAACCAAATTCATGCGTTTCGTGAGGCGAATCCTTCTCGATTTCACAGTATTTCACAAATATCAACAATAAACATAATACTTCTACTTATTTACGATAGTGCCAGGTTAATTTCGATATCTATAAGTAAATATTGGCTTTCAAATTCATGAAGGCCGAATATATTACTCATAATATTCCAAATTATATTTTTTCTCTGTGAAAGAGATCATGTTGCATATTTGATGGTTAATTTTGAGTAGTAAATCTATTGCAGGGGGTGTTTCATGCTTTTCAACGCGGCAATAGATTCTTAATTATAATTATAACGCAAATAGTCAATCAGTATGGAATAGAGATGTTGCCATGCGACTAATTTAATTCCTAGCGCATACCTTGCATATTTAATTTTTCTTTATATAAATTTTATTATTGTGCTTACTAAAATAATTATTTACATAGTTCAGGATGGCATCGTCAATAGAACAATCTGCTTCAACCACAACAGCCAATGCTGTTACAAAACATCTGACATTATGGTAAAAAACTGCAATCAATATCAGGTATATTACCTATCTCCACCGAAAGATTATCCTCTCTGCTCCAGATATTGTGCCAATCGTTGGCGTAAGTTTAGTGACATATGTTTGTCAATGATATATATAGCTTAATACAACCGATTAAAATTTGTAGTAGTCATTCCATGTAAAGCAACCCTATAAGATTATTGATAAATTGTTGATAGATCCGTGCGATCCAAATCTATGCCAAAATGGTAAGTGTACTGCTCGAAACTCTACTGCCTTCCAATGTCAATGTTCACCTGGTTTTACCGGCAGGCTGTGTGATACTGGTAAGTGATACAAATTTTAAAAATTTTCACAACATCAACCAAGCGGTCGATTCCATATTCTGCTTATTTTTATATTGTTAAGTTATATTCAACAATCTTACATAAGAATCAGTAGATTTAATTCAATTGTACAAGGATATCGTTGCCTAGCAGAAATGAAATTACTTCACTTTAAAATATTTTGTCATCATTGAAAGTATCGATGTCTTAAGTTGATTTTAACAACGAGCAAATTTAATTTAAATGTATTAAAGGTGATATAATCTTAACAGCAATTTCTGTACCCAAAATTACAGTTACAATTCTGATTTCTTGACATAATCATGATCTGCAATACAGTATCCATTGATAAATTTAATTGTGCGCTAAGTTGGTCGTAGAATCGTCTTGCAATATTACAAGCAAACTCTACTTCATGACTCCAAAATATCAGGATGGATTCATTTTATCCATTATAGCGGCTGTCTACTACGATTTTTTTCTTAACCGTGTGATGTTCGTAATTACTTTAATTAAGTTTGAATAGGGGAAAACACCTGAAACTAACTCAAGATGCCAGCGAGAATACTATTAGCCCTATTGATCCGCCTTTCTTTATAAAATAGCTCATTACATTATTGTCTATACTTGACCTGATTTTGCTCCAAGTAATAAATCATACCTTCAAGAAATTCACTTCATTTATTCGTATAGTATTAAATGATGAACACGATTTATTGCCTATATTTTAAATAATCTAATTTTCGTTAATTAATTGGAATTTTTCAGCTAATTATATAATCAACCACACCGACAAAAAGTAGGTTATTATAATCATTATTCCTTTCATAATCATTCTCTGCTTTACTATTAATCTCATTTAGAAATTAATGAATGCTCTTCTAATCCTTGCCTTACTGGAGACTGTATCGACAACATTAATCATTACACTTGCCAATGCTCACCCGGGATGACTGGTACCAATTGTGACACAGGTAACTGTATTAACTGTTGGATCAGCTTAAATAGGATTAAATTCAACTGCAAGGAAGATTAGTTACCTTAATATAACTATAACATCGAATCTAGATAAAAAATTAGTTTATTCTGATATTGATAATAAATAAATCGTTATTTACAAATCATTAACGTAGAATAAGGCAGCATACATGTATAGCAAGTATAAATGCATAATGATTGAGTACTATTTGCTCAGCAGATACTATACATGAACATCTATTTTTATTACCATTGCAGATGTAAATGAATGTTTAAACAAAAATGGTGGATGCAGCCACCATTGCAAGAATCTCTATTCCAGCTACTATTGCACATGTCCTGATAACTTAGAACTCCATACCGACAATCATACTTGCTTGGGTATGTATCTTAAGCTATCATTTAAATCAATCCATAGTTAGCTAAAAATTAAAACTCACACCTCCAATAACAAACACGGTTACAAAATTATTTGCAATAGAAAGTATTATTTTACTATTATGATTATATTTAATCAAGCCTGGTGTCAATATCGATTATGCTTTATAATGATTGCTCTTTTATTATAGATCCTTGTTCCGTAAATCATATTTCTTTTAATAATACGTTTAATCAATCAAGCGATTTTATGAAAGTATTTAAAATAAACAGCCAGTGTAATTCTTATTCGAGAAACTATAAACCAGCTCGTTGGTATGAAGCTAATCTCCAAGATAATTGCACCAACTTAGCAAACTGGATCGATATCAACCAACAACAAGGCAAATGCACTGTAGTTACAAAAGCAAGCAACTTGCAATTAACTTCGTAACGAAATTCTCCATCATTCTACTATCGTATATATAATTAGTTGCAGTATGAAATTACTATATCATAGAGTATTCCAAAATAGTTTTCATTATAAATGATAATGACTTTTATTTTGATTTCAATCTTTAGTCAATCGTGACTTAAACCTAAAAAGTCGTCTGATCTGCATCAATTTTGGTCTTTCAACTTGTTTTAAGACACTGTCTATGAAAACGAAATCTTGCGCCAATGGAAAAGTAATTTATAAAGCAGATCCATCATCAGCATGCATTCTGAATTATTGTAGTCAAGTCAGTGATCCAGGTACGTAAGTTATTATTTCAATGTGTTGCAGATAGAAAGTTAGCCTTATGATGATCTCTAAATCGATGGATTAATTGATATTGAAAGATTACTGTAGATCGTCTCCTTGTCGTCAGGGACAGTGTCTGTCTACAGCTTCTGGTTATCAATGTAAATGTTTTCGAGGATTTGTTGGATTAAACTGTCAATATAAAGGTAAAGAGATCATTTTCGATATAACTAGTTAGTCACATTGACAAAATTTGCTACAATAGAAATAACTCTTCCTTTTAGAGGAATTATTTAAAGCAACAATCCTTATTTTCCGTCAATATTATATATAAATTGTTTATTATGACAGTATCACAGTTTAGGTAAAAATTGAGATCAGCTATATAGTTCTCCTGTAGGTTTCTCGTTCGTCTTAAAACTGAAGCTGCTTATTAAGCACATGCATGACACATCACATATTCCTTTATTAATATGCCAAAACAATATTCTGTATGCTAGAATTGTCTCTACTCTTACAATTAATATCATTAGTTGTCTGTTAAATAAAGTGTTTACTGACAATAATAGTTTGATTATTTCAATCAATGAGCAAACTAATTGATAAAGGTGCGACTTCAATATTCATCCATTTCCATTAAGCCTAGTTTTCGCAATTGATAGGAAGTGAAGCTTCATGATTTCAACTCTAATTCAATAAGTACCCTGCATAGGATATAATGACATATTCGGAAAGAAAGAGCTGGTTTATTGTACTGCTTCATATCATTCTAAAATAAAAGTGCCTTCAACATTAGAGTATTTTTATTAGCTTTGCTGTAATACTTCAGTTACTCTTTCGCATTAGTCTACCTCTATTTTACAACAGAATTTCCTTCGTGATAGCTCATTACATTGTAGATTCTAACATTTTTCGAACCATATCTTTTACACTGTATATCCGCCACTTTAGATTCTTGCTCATCCTTTCCTTGTCTGTATGGAAAATGCGAGATCACTTACAACGGCAATTATCAATGTCGATGTTATCCTTACTATACCGGAAATCGTTGCCAAACAAATATGAACGGTACGTCATCATCAAATGTACTTCTACTCGATTTACATATTTTACTTTCAACACTGAATTGATTGTAAGTCGTTTATAAACCGAAATGACAATAATAATTGCTGAAAACTTGATCTATCCATGTAGTTCATATTGTTATTCATTCAATGTATCTTATTAGTTAAATAATACTGGCAAACAGCTAACAAAAGTTTTTACTTCTTTCATCAGCTACCGAATATTGTCTAACCAAAGCTAAATCTTGCTATGATATTGCCATGCAACAGCCAAATAAAAAATTACCCAATCAATATTACGACATCTATGATGACGGAACTAGCAACTTTATGAAAGTTAAAAAATGGCGCGTCTACTGCGACTTTAACTCACAGCCTGGTTTTGCTTGGACTTTAATAGATTCATTTTCTTTTGCCAATAGACAGCATCCTAAAATAAGGCGTTCATTTCCGTACGATAGCCCCATCAATCATGAAAACGTAAGCTCTAAGCCATGGCCATTATATCGCATGAGTCGCGAACAAATGTTATCTACCTATCATCAATATCAAAATTTCAGTGATGGAGGGCTATGGCGAGCAACATGTAATTTTAATTCCCTTTCTTTTCCTCTTCTAACCGATCCTGTCGATTATATACAAAGTTCATTTCTACGATGGAATATATTGGAAGTTGGTACAGCAGATAGATGCCAATATATCGATTACGTTAACATTCGCGGCCACCTTTACAGAAATACAACACATTTTATTGACACGGGAACATCAGAACATTTTCATATCGAATCTAGCTTTGGCTGTTCTGATAAGACAGTTCCCGATTCTGTCTATAGTGAAGATAATTTTGGCCAGTATGAAAGTTACAATAGATTGTTTACTTGTAGTGCCAATGCAACTAGTATCTCAAGTTGGTGGATAGGGACAAAAATTCAATAATAGCGGAATTCTGTCATAGGCATCGTCAATTGATGAAGAATTCTGTCATTTAGCGATAAGTCCATCATAATTAAGAAATTAGTAATTTCCATCTATCCTAAAACTCCAATCTGTACTTGTAGTAGGCACATTATGTAAGCCTTCAAGCTGTTATATTCTAGTATAAAAATGCTTGGAAATTGATTTCATAAAGACATGTGAACAAGTGAGATTTCCATTATAATAATTCAATAACTGCCACATGCATACAGATATCTACGATGTACCGTGAAATTAATACTCTAAATGTGCAATAAATAAGCATCTTGAAAATCATCCGCGAGATGGGTTGCATTTTATTCGTGTTTATTCCTTTTTCTTCCATCTTACTTCCATTTGCAAGATATCAACTGTTCTAGAAGATCACAATGGTCCGGCAGGTCTTACTCAATAATGCAAGATAGCTCCGTCTCTTTTTCTTTGAAAATAATGATATTAACTATCAGCCAGTATTTTATAAAATATGAATGTTTATCAGTAAGATCATTTGTACTTACATAAAAAGTAATCTAATTAAACCAAGTAGCAAAAGTAATCATACCAGTTATACAATTTAGGTTAAAGTTTATTCAGTTACTCGTATGTTGTTTTCCTCTCCTGTATGATTGTCGTCCGTACTGAAATTGATGCTTTATTTAAGTATGTAACATAAACAACTAAAAAGGAAATTACAAAAAATGGGAAAAGAAAGATCTCACCTGCCAAACTGCTTGATATCTAAAATAGAAAGATCTTACAACACTTCAGCTACTACATTATGACTGCGAAATTTCTATTTTATAAGGTGATATTTATTAGGATAGCTATAATAGTAATGGCAGATTTTATTACTCATTGAATCTTATCACTATCATTCTACATTCGTTATTTTTGCTTTTATAATTCTTGTCAGTATGGAATTTTGTATAATTTTTAACCATACCAGTTACCGATGCTAACTTGATAACACTAGAAATCGTTGCCAAGCATTGGAGATCGAAAAGATGTATGAGAAAGGTATATCATTACGAATGAGCAATTCGACTTAATTTATTTTAATATTGCATTGATTGCAAGTTACTAATAAGCCAAAATAAATGCAGGTATTCAAGAAAACTGAATATAGCCTCGCATTTTTTATATTCAATTAATTGATTGCACCTCACCAGCTAAAAATGATTTAAAAATAGTCACGAGAAATGTTTATTCTTCGATCAGTATCCACATATTGTCAAACCAGACCCAATTCTTGTCATGATCAACTTGATAAATTAAGAAGGAATGAAAAATTGCCATATCAATGTTGCGACGGATTTATTGCCAAGATCGAATCGATCTCGCGTAAAAGTGTAAAAATAGATATGCTAAGTTGTAAGATGAAACTACTTTAACAACTGCAAAGTTTGTACACTATTCAATTTCATATTTTATACAGTAAAAAAAAGGCTAGAGTAGACTTCTCATGGAAAGAAACTTTAGCAGAATTATTATACTATGACAGTATGGCAATCGTCAAGTTATTCGTGGCAGTAAAAAGAGTGAATAACTCTTGAGGTATGATTATCGTAGCCATATCATTTCTGTTCGCTTCCAGAACCCTAGTTCTGAGATTACTTGAACATTCTGTCATCACAACCGCTTTTATCCTCGACAAAGTATTAGGACGAGCTTACGCATCGTAACAGGCAGAGATAGGACAAGCATGAATAATTCCTAGTGGAAATCGACTGCTGCTTCATGATTATTACGATAAACATTGTCTGAAATATCATTAACAAGGAACATTCTGATAGTATCAATACAATTTAAATTGAAAATGGGCCGCTGTCATTACCACAATCTGTTTTAGTATTACAGTAACTAAATTACGGAAGGTTATAAC